AAAATACCCCGAAAATCAATTTTTCATTCATGTGGGGGATTGTTGGAAAAAATAGCTTAAAATGGCATATTAAGTGGCTATTTTGTGGTACAATTATCAGTGGGGTCCACTTCCGATTTGGGTCGGGTCTAAGTGGATTCAGATTCTTCGTAGTGAGACGAAGAAATTGATATATTGTACGCTCAAAACAGATAATGGGTGAATGAGATATTGATTCTCAAAGTAGACCAATTTGAGTTGGAAAATGAAGGGAAAAAGTGAGCTTTTGTCCCACATTGGTTTGGAAAGAGGATTTGCCCCCCTTATATACAAGAGCTCTTTTGAAGCTTGTAGAATTGTATAGCATAGAGGTTCTCTCACGTCGGGGGTGGGGGGGGGGGGGGGGTTGCAAATCAAATTCCAACTAGACGAGATTGAAAAAGGCTTAATTCAAGCTCGAGCTCGTGTGCGCCGGCACATGCAGGCACGAATGTTGTCCGGAAATTGAAGTTATGCCAAACTCACTTCGGAATTATTTTTCCAACACACACATGCACTGGATGTGGCCGAAACTGGAATAGTTTCGGCCCTGCCATGTAAGTTTCGGCCAAGAAAAGGCACTAAAGCCGAAACTTCCAGTTTCGGCCTACACGAACCCCAGTTTCGGCCCTGCCATGTAAGTTTCGGCCAAGAAAAGGCACTAAGGCCGAAACTTCGGCCTACACGAACCTGTGCAGTTTGGTAACCGTTGGGTGTTCAATTCTACTGTTACGGAATTAAGTTTTTGAGTTAATTCCAATTTTAATTTTCGAATTGAAACCCATGTTTAAGGTTGCTGTTACAGGAAGGTGGAGGGGTGCCCTTAAGTGCCTAATAAAAGCTATTTAAATCCTCCACCCCTATATAAGGAGGAGTTGGGCAGTAGAGTTTTAATACACAGAAATATAGAACACGAAAGTTCATCTTTTTTAGCCTCAAAACCTCTCTGCTTCTACTCCTTCTTTAGCCTACTGTGTTCATAACCGTGTCTTGCTCGCCGGATTCCTTGTTTGAGTGCTCAAACATTGAATCACTAGCAAGTTTTATCATGGGAAGCCTAGGCCACAACGCTCCTAGCATCTTTGGGAAGTGGCAAATAAGGTTTTAAGGAAAGAGTGCACGCTTGACTCTTGCAAAAACCCAACACCAAACACTAGCCAAATTCTACATCTTTCCTTCCCTTGTTTTTCCAGAAAATAATAATCTTATTTATCCGATTATTATTTGTTTTTTCTACCAACGGTTCCTACAGTCTTAAAACCTTATTTCTTGTTTTCCTGTTGGTTGTTGTCTCTAATTTTCTTTAAGAAATGGAGAACCCCGAGTTGCCTATCGTTAACAATGGGGAAGAAAATGTTGTTGAGAACAACAATGGAGGAAACGACAATATATGCCCAATATTAATATTTAATTTTAAAATTAGTTATATTAAAATATTTTTTTAAATAATTATGTGTGTGTGTGTGTATGTACACTAGTATTTTTTATGCGCAATGCGCAAAAAAGTAGGTGCCCAATATTAATATTTTATAATGTGGAAAATAACAGAAGTTATAACGGCAGGGACATAACTTGGATTGAAACTTATTATGTTTTTAGATATTTATAGAAGCCAACCCTTATGCAAGTTGAATACCTATTGAGTTCATGCATGTGATTGAGTTTTCTCATTCTTTTTTTTGGGCGACGAGAGAAACTTGCGGTGACTCCACCCTAGTCGATAAAAGAACACAATGTAATAAATTAGTTTAACTTACTCATAGCTGACCGGCTCAAGAAAATGAATAAGGCTGAATTTTCTCACGTACTCTTTACTCATAGTGATGTTCATGATTTCTAATTTTCTATTGTGATGCTAAGTGGATTAGTCCGCCCCAACTCACCTGAACACAATACTATTTAGTTCGAGTTAGGGATGGCAACGGGGCAGGGCGGGAGCGGGGAGTATACTCTCCGTTCCCGTTCTCGCGACCCCGTCCCCATCCCCGTCCCTGCAGGGAATTAGACGGGGACAGAGATTCCCTATTTCCCGTCAACTCCTAGTCAAAATGTTAAATAATTACAATTTTTAATAAGAAAAAAAATTTAAAATCTAAATCTTAGTTTCAAAAATTAAAAAAAAAAAAAAATATATATATATATATATATATATATATATATATATATATATATATATATATATATATAATTAATCGAGGACGAGGACGGGGACGGGGCGGGGCGGGGAGGGGAGGGGTAGTCCCCGTCCTCGACGGGGAATCATACATACTCCCCGTCCCCGTTTCCGTTCTCCGAAAATTTTCTCCATCCCCGTCTCCATCGGGGCGGGGATCAGGGATCCTCGTCGGGAATGGGACACATTGTCATCCCTAGTTCGAGTTATGCCACATTTTAATATATTCGACCCAACTCTGTCCAATTAATTTATTAAAATTTTTAAATTAATGATTCTTCAAAATTGTTTAAATTTATAAACTATAATTTTAAAAAATTTACTTAAAATTATAGAATTTTAATTATATGACATATTTGTATGAAAAGAGTATTAATTGTATTTACACTAGCAGGTTTTTTTTTTTTTTTTTTTTTTTTTTTTTTTTTTTTTTTTTTGAGATAATCTCGGCCCGAATCTTTTGCTAGATTCAAGAACCTCTAGACTTTGCCAATAGCTCAATGGGTAAGCAATTGTCATGGGTCTGACTTGAGACCAACATTCCATATTATATGTACATTTATAATGTTAAACAGTATATTGTATCTACATTTATAAAGTTAAAAATTTATACTTTAGAAGTTAAAAATTTACAATCTAAAAAATTACAACATTAAAAACTAAAATTAATACAACTTACAAGTTATAACAAATAAATTTAAACTATTACATAAAAATCTTATGACCAATTTGGTTTGCTAAAAAGAATTCATAAAAAATAGAAGCATGCATGACCCCCTCTTTACCCACCACACACATATACAGTACTAGTATTTTTATGCGCGATGCGTAAAAAATTAATGTCCAATATTAGTACTCTATATTAAAATCTTAGATTTATTTAGATTTTAGATATTTATATTATTCTATAATAATAATAATAATAATAATAATAATAATAATAATAATAATAATAATAGTAGTAGTAGTAGTAGTAGTGTAAACCATTTTTATAAATTTGATAATTATATTTTAGGAAATAACTTATATAATACTTCAATATATATTGTCTATTATAATATTACCATGGAAGAAATAATAATATATATGGTGGATGCATGTGAATGTTAACAATAGTTGAAAAAGATAACAGAAGTTATAAATTTATAATGGTAGGAGTATTTTTAACCAAAATATTATATAGTACAATTCTTATAACATAATATATATATATATATATATATATATATATATATATATATATATATATATATATATATATATATATATATAGGGACGCACTCAGGTGCGAATAAGTGCCCAGGAAGGAAATGCGAACGAATCAGCGCGCGACACGTGTCCAGATCTAATAACTTAAAAAAAAATGCGGTGGCATTTTCGTAAATAATTGAACATCGAAGTGCAAGTAAAATCTCTTATAAGTGCACCTATTTTCACCTATAAGTGCATGTAATTTTGCCTTGTTAGCATTCACTTTCCGCAACCATTCATGCACCTGGGTGTGCTTATAACTATATGTGCAACTATTTATAACTATAGGTGCAACTACTTATAACTATATGTGCACCTACTTTCACCTATAAGTGCATGTAATTTTGTCTTGTTAACATTCATTGATCTGAGTTCAGCGGGTAGTAATACTCCTGAAAATCACTCGCAAACATTCATACACCTAGATGCAACTACTTATACCTATGTGTGCAACTACTTAGAACTATAGGTGCAACTACTTAGAACTATAAGTGCAACTAAGTATTGATGCTCAGTGTAAATTTTTACTTGCACCTATAATACATTTTACATGCACTTGTAATACATTTTACTTGCACTTCGATGTTCAATTATTTACGAAAATGCCACCGCGTTTTTTAAAAAAATCTGTGTTTCTCATCCATTAGATCTGGACACGTGGACGAACAGAATCCATTCCTATTTCGCGCCTGGGCAAGCCATTCGCACCCGAGTGCAACTCTATATATATATATATATATATATATATATATATATATATATATATATATACATATACATATATATATATATATACATATATATATATATATATATATATATATATATATAACGAAAAACTTGGACATAAAATCTACAATCTTCATTTACACTTATTAGTTTTTAAAAAATTAAAGTGTCAAATTAAGTCTCCAACTTTTAAAATTTTCAATTGAATCCTTAAACATGTAAAATAATGATGCAACTAGCTTCTTTTTACGAGTTGTCAAAAGGTAAGTAATTACACTTTGAAAAATGATCTTTTGAAAACACTTTGAAAAATGATATATGTACTCTCTAATGGAGTATAATTCACGCCACGTATATAAATTTCATTAGGTAAATAAAAGTGAATGAATAAAAATAATAACCTACTTTGTTATTTAAATTAATCAAAGGATGACACCTCAACATGGAATAAAAATAAAGTAGAAAGTGAAAGTATATATAGTATTACTCTAATTTATATGGATGTAACATCTCTAATTTTTATGATTTCATTCTTCTCCATTGCATAAAAAAATAAAAAAATAAAAAACAGCATCATCCTATCACGTGCGTCCCATACCCCCACCGTACATATTGGAATTGAATAGATCTTCTTCCCTCGATTTTATCCTACGTTATTATAGCTAGGCTCCTACTTTTGACCATTGTCTGATCTCACTGCTCTCTCACTCCTTCCCCAATCTATCACCTTTACAACTCAATTTAGGCAACATTAAAATACTCCATTTCTTTCATTTTACATGTGGGTGTTGATTGCTACCTTGATTAAAATAACATATGGCGATGATAATGGAAGCTTTCCTGCACCGCATCAACAATTATACCAAACCTCACACCCAATCTCCGGTAGCCGCCACCTCTGTAAACCAATATCCGCCGCTCGATCACCATCATTTCCGTCGTTTTTAATACAAATCATTGTTATACTTGCATCATCTTTTCTCCATCTATGGGTGTTGCCCGGGAAAGCTAAGTTGCAGAGAGGAGTCAGTAATGGCGGGTGTTGTAAGTAATAATGGTTGGATTTGGTATGTTGTATTAGCGTTTCTGTGTTTTTTCTGCGATCTTGGAGCGAGCACTGACAGTCTCAGAGGCGGCGAATCGGTAACTCCGAACCGGACATTAGTCTCCGCCGGCGGGAACTTCGCGTTGGGATTCTTCCGCCCCGGGAACTCTTCTTCTTCGTTTCTCGGGATATGGTATAACACCGACAACACCAGTGTGATTTGGGTCGCCAACAGAGAATCCCCACTGCCCCAAGATTCCGAACCCCTTCTCAAGCTCGGGGATGACGGGAATTTGGTGCTTTTTGACGGCGAAGGAAATATAATATGGTCAACGAATATCTCTATCTCCGGCGGCGGATTCGCCGGAAACTCGTCGCTCGCACTATTGCTAGATTCGGGAGATCTTATTGTGAAGCAGGGTGAGAGCACTGTTTGGGAGAGCTTTGATGGCGATAGCGATGCATTAATGCCGGGGATGAAGCTAAAGGTAAACAAGAAAACTGGGAAACGAAACTTAATCAGATCTTGGATAGGCAGTGATGATCCCCGGCCAGGGAAATTCTCGTGGGGAATGGATCCTAAAGGATCTCCCCAGTTTTTGATTTGGAAAGAAGATAAACCTTATTATAGGAGCAATTTGTATCAGGATGGGTTTACTTACAGTAGATACTTTCCCACTCTGGGATATTCTGCATATTATTCTTTTGCCACAGAAAATAATGATGAATATTTCAGCTATGGATATGCTGATACCTCAATTCAAATAAGGTTCATCTTGATCCCAGATGGTCATATTAAGGCACTGTTGAGGCAAAAAAAGAGTGATAAATGGTTGATAAGGTGGCAGGTGCCCGCCACCGATTGTGAATTCTATGCGCGCTGTGGCGCATTTGGGACCTGTGAGCAGAACAATTCAGATTCGGTTTGCTGTTGTTTGACAGGGTTTAAACCGAAATCTCAGAAAGATTGGGATAAGGGGGAGTATGGTGGAGGGTGTGTGAGGAGAAAAGCTCTGCAATGCGATGAGAACGATAGGTTCATGAGGCTTCCCAGGATGAAATGGCCTGACCATTCAACTTCGTTGGGGAATATGACATTCGAGGAATGTGAAATCGCGTGTTCTAGGAACTGCTCTTGCAGTGCTTTTGCTTATGCGAATATCAGTACTGACTCCACTGTCAATTGTTTAAACTGGTTTGGCGATTTGGTCGATTTGACACATAACTATTCAGCTGGTCTTAACGGTTTTGGCCAAGATCTCTATGTTCGTGTTCATGCTTCTGAGCTAGGTAGTACCCTTGAAACTTAATTTACTAGGTAGAGAACGATACTAGGTTGTTTCCTATTTACATTTTCGTCTTTTGATACGATGTTCTTGCAGATGGAAGTGGTGGGAATGAACATTCACCTCACAAAAACAAAGGTCTCGTTGCAATAATAATAGTTGCTTCGGTCTCTGCATTCGTTCTTGTTGCAGTTTCAGCATATATCCTCAACCGGAAATACTTTAGAAGGAAAGGTACAAAGTTACCGTTTTGAATTTCGTATTCCTATCAAGTGATCATAAGGTCATTTTGGTTCACATCGACTCATTTTCTGTTCCTAATTGCTTTGTAAACACAGATTGGGTATGTATGAAGTCGTCTACACATGTTAACTCGATGTCAACTACGCCCCTTGCTGGAAAAGATGATAATATAGAGTTGCTGCAATTCAGCTTGTTTAGAATAATCGATGCTACAAACAACTTTGACGAAGAAAACAAACTTGGAGAGGGTGGTTTTGGCCCCGTGTATAAGGTGACCACTTAATGATAATTGTGTCGAGATGGATATATTGATTTATCTTTATGTTCGAGTAGAAGGTTGTTATAGTGTTGCTATTTCGTTTCAGGGGTTTTTATCGGAGTTTGGGATGGTAGCCATCAAAAGGCTTTCTAAGCGATCGTCTCAAGGTCTGGAGGAGTTCATGAATGAGTTGAAGCTAATTGCGAAACTACAGCATACGAATCTCGTGAGCCTATTGGGTTGCTGCATTGACGATGAAGAGAAAATACTAATCTACGAATACCTGCCGAAGAGAAGCCTAGACACCGTCTTATTTGGTACCTGTTCTAAAACATAATTTCTGAAATTTCATTTGCTGAGTCTCCAGTTTGAATCCCCAATTAACGAAATCACTATGTTTCTCTCAGATGAATTCAAGAAAGATAGTTTGGATTGGAGCACACGGTTTCGGATAATAGAGGGAGTTGCCCAAGGAATTCTTTATCTTCACAAGTACTCTAGACTGAAAGTCATTCATCGGGACTTAAAAGCAAGCAACATTTTACTCGATGAAGGAATGAAGCCCAAAATATCAGACTTTGGAATGGCAAGAATTTTCGGGATTGACCAAACTCAGGCGGAAACAAACCATGTGGTTGGAACATAGTAAGTGTTATTTAAACCCTATTTTTCATCGGAATCAGATTTGTCTCGCTTCTATAACTAATATCTTTTTGCGATAGTGGCTACATTCCACCAGAATATGTGATGCAAGGCCAATTTTCCGAGAAGTCTGATGTGTTCAGTTTTGGAGTGCTATTGTTAGAAATCGTTAGTGGCCAGAAGAACTCTAATTTTTTTCAGACTAAACTTTCGTCCTCCCTTCTAGGATGGGTAGGCATTCTCAGCAACTTCATGATTTGTGTATATAAATTATATGCGGGAGATTAAAAAAAAAAGGCGTTATGGTTTATTTTGGTTTTCTTTGTATTAGGCATGGGAAAACTGGAAAGAGGGACGAGCACTTGAATTTGTCGATCCAGCAATAAGTGAATCATGCGACTCTCTCAAAGTTATAAGGTGCATCGAGGTGGGACTTTTATGCGTCCAAGCAATCCCGACAGATAGACCGACTATGACCGAGGTAGTTCTCATGTTGAGCAATGACCCCGCGGCGCCAATTCCAGCACTTAAAGAGCCCGCATTTGTTTCTAGCAACTCCAATGCCATCGTTTCTACTTCTTATCGAGAGTCGAGTGATTCTTACTCCAGAAACAACGTTACAATCAGTGTTCTCGAGCCTCGATAAAGGATTGGTCGTTCTGTGTAAACGGTTCGTGCCCTCGATGATAGCTCTTGTACTGGTTTGTGACAGGAGTTCATCAACATAGAAAGGCTGCTTGCAATGTGACTTGAATTTCTGTATTGCTGTACATGATATTCTTTTGTGTGATCAACTAGATTCATCCCCTGTGAAGTTTATCAGTCTTGGCTTGTTAGCATTTCTGTGTTGAGCATATAATAAATAAATATTTAAATGTGCAGTTTAACTATCCATTTAAGTTTTAGTTGAATTGATCGAAATACATCTTTTAATTTGGTATAAGGTCAACTTCATGTAAGATATCACGAGGGGCATGAGGGGATTCGAAAAGAGACTACGGTCATTTTTGACGGATTGTGAGGAGACGTGTTAAACATATTTCCACTTAGTCTTGCGATTATTAATTTTTCACTCAAATTAGATCATTTGTTAGTTTACTATAAAATCAGTGTTAAATACGACGACAACAAAGTCCAATTCTAACGTCTACAAGGTGAAAAATGGCCTAGAAAACAAAACTATTGCGCAGAGTGGATGGTCACCACATGAGTGTCACCATGACCTCTGGAACCTACGAGCTGTGATGAAAACTCACGGTGGAAATCAGGGTGTGAGGTATATCGTGACCACACACCCAGAATTTTGGCGTGAATTTGAGAGTATAAATAGACCAAGGTAATTATTTTTAGAGAACTTTTCATTTTCCAATCTCTCAAGAAAATCTCTCAAGCATTTCCTTTTTGTAATCAATCAACATTTGATGAAGCTAAGATTTGAAAATCAATTGAACTTGTAATCAATTCCAATTGCAATTTCTAATTTGCTCTTGTACTGTATTGTTCTTCACCAAAACTAAGACTTTCTTTTTTCTTTTGCATTTTTTTTCTTCCAATTGTGATTGCAATGTCTCTTTTTTCAATTGATGATTCCATTTACATTCATAACATGAATAGTCACTTAGGGATTGGATTAAGTTATCTTTTTTGATTGATTTTATGTGATTGAATTGAACTATGAGTTAGTGGAATGGCTCGATGATGACTCTAGTTGTGAGCTTGATGATTTGTGTTGACTCTTGTAAGGTTGTGATCACAATCATACAAGAAGAACATAGATAAAATATTGTTACTATGAGAATAGAGAAACACCATAGCCACACCCCTCACTAGTCCAACTTCTTTTGGGAAAAGGAGCTTGGAAGGAAACATGAACACCACGTATTTGATGAATTGCTTCAATTGACTTGAGTCACCATGCGAGTGGGGCTGCATCCCAATTAAGTGTCTAATGTTCACGGAAATGACATTGACATTTCGTAGCGTCTTTTTCTCTAGTTTCCTTGTCAAGGCATTGCATGAGCTATATATCACCAAGGATACACTATAGCACCTATTCAAAAATGACCTAAGCTAGTCCAAACGCTTAGTTTTATTGCTTATTAATTGTCTTAGTTAATTGTTTTACCATTGCACTTTGAACATAGTTGTCTCTTGATATTCTGCAACTCGCTCAATCTTAAATTATCTTCCAAACACTTTACACTCTTTTGTTTAGCCATTTACTATTCAACACCCTTTTGGTTCACTTATTGCGACGATATCCAGTGTGAGAAATGAGGATACACTCACACACACTTTATTCCATCACCACTTTTACACAACTCTCAAGGCCAAATTACAATATGTTATGAACATGATTCTCTATTACAAACTCCGATTTAGAAATTCGGGACTTAGGATATAAGTTTTAAGAGTTAATTCCACCAAAGGTCTTTTGTCTTTGGTGACAATTCCAAATTTAGTCCCAGACTATCGTTTTTGTCATTTAACATCCCATACTATTATTTTTTGGACACTTTTAGTTCATCTCATGACTTTTCCTATTTTTAGGAAGGACATTTTTGTCTTTTCATATTTTTCTTTTGTTATTTTTCGGGTTTGAACCGGTTTAATCGGTTTAGAACTTTAGGTAACTTCTGATTTTTAGTAACTATATTTTTCAATCGATTTTTAGTAAAGTTCTAAACCAATTAAACCGATTGAAACTTGAAAAATAACAAATGAAAAATATGAAGAGACAAAAATGCCCTTACTAAAAATAGAAAAAATAATGGGAATGACTAAAAGTGTCCAAAAAATAATAGTCATAGGATGTTAAATGAAAAAAACGATAGTTTGGAACTAAATTTGAAATTGTTAACAAAGACAAGGGACTTTTAGTGGAATTAACTGTAAGTTTTAACAATTTAAACTACAAAAATCTTAAAATAGAAGAGTTTATAGAAATTTATGAAAGTCTTATTGACTATACCATAATTGCACGTATAATTTACTAATGAATTGTAAATTCGATTTCTGTAAATTACTTCTAATGAAGCACCACGAATATATTACTCAAAACTGAGTTGTAAATTAAAGGTGAAAGTTCGTTTGCCAAGGAGACGAGTTTAAATGGATTTATCCGCCTTTTTTGTTATCTTTACAGTCAAACAATAGTCAAAGAAGTACGATGAAGGAATGAACATGGAACATAGGACAAGAATATACGTTAATTTCGGGGTAAAGAGGAGTGGACCAATAAGCTGCCAAAGTTAGTTGAGTGGTCTTAGGGAGATTGAGTTGTTATACCATGGACCAAGATCCACTTTACAAGGTGTACCTTAATCTTAAGCAATATATAAATTGTGTATTTTTGTATTAAAATTATGAAATTTTAAAATATAAATTGTATTTTTAAGGCAAAATACATAATAACTGTGGAATTGATTTGTAACTATAATACATGATCATCAAATTCTAATTTGTTAATAATGTGTAACTGATATTTAAAAAGAATGTGTGAATACAAAATAAGGTAATCAATTACATACATGTTAACATTGTGCGTTCATAGTATACAAAATGTGAATTTTTATAAAGTAAATTATGAAGGGTGAACATTTGGACTTGGATCCACCTTGCAAGGTGCAAGGTGGACCCGGATATACAAAATAATTTGTGAGAGATATTGATGTTGTGCATTGCTAGCAAGAGCAGAACATTATAACTTAAAATAAATTATAAATTCTAAAATAAACTTTACCAAACAGTAACTGCTCGCTAAGACAACGCTCTGGTCGGGTGGCGGGTGGATTGGTTTGAGTTCCCCCGGACTATGTGGCTCGCAATGACTGTATGGGATCAACTCACCAATTGAATTAAAAATTGATTACGTCTATAATGTGAGACATGTTCCTCCCGGGGCCTTAGGCCCTTTTTCCTACCCAAAAAAAAAATAATGTGAGACATGTTCAAGGAAAATTTAAGGAAAGATTCCCTCTTTCTCAAATGACATAATAACATCCTCCGTCACGGGCCCCTATACCCCAATATTAACATATATATCGTTGTCCTATGCACTTTCCTTAATCGTACTTGTTTGACCATTGTTTCATCACTTTAAAGAAAAGATAACTAAAAAAGCGCATAAATCCATTTAAACTTGTCTCCTTCGCCAACCAAGTTCACCTTTGCCAACTCAATAAATTGAATAATGTATTCTAGGTGCTTCATTAAAGTAATTTACAATTCATTAATAAATTATTATATTTGCATTTAAGATTCATCACATGGGGATTTATTTATTTATTTATTTATTATTATTATTTTAATATTTAAGTTGATCAAATCGATTTACATTTTATGATCTTGTTGAACGAGTGGATTTAATCCTTTATAGGCTTTTACCTTGACTTCAATATCACTTGTTACGATTAAGCGATTATCACTATCCAAAAATTATAGTTCGCAGCGAATGCTCTGTTATATTTTCGAAAAACAAAGTATTGGATTTAGCTATTCACCGACCAACTAGAAACATAAGGTAAATGATCTGTTTGGTAACATAGTTAACTTATCAGCCAATTTTAACTTGTTTAACCATTATTAGCTATTTGACTTGGTTAAAGAGTCAATATGAGTGTTTGATTAATTAGTTTTTTGTAATATCCTAGTGCTCCAAAACAGTTTTTTTGAAAAACTTTTTAAGAATGTCATTTTATATGTAATCAGCTATTAGCTAACAACTAATTTACCAAACATTTTTCTACCATCAACTAATGTTAACAACTACGGAGTATTTACCAAATACCCAAAAAAAATCTACTTACCAAACACTCCCAAAATCTACTTCCAAAGAATGATCGTGGACTTCCAGTAAATCAAAGATTCATCACACGGGAAATGAATAATCTATACCAAACCAAACAACGACCCAACTCCGGCAGCCGCGCCACCTTGACCCTGCAATTTCCGACGCTCACCATCTTCAACAAGCTCTGATGAATCATGTAAAACCCAACCCTTTTTCGCATATAGTTCTTTGACAGACTTGATTCTAGTCTCTTCCACTTTGCGAGCAGTGCGTAATGGAATGTGTTTGTGGCATTTTGTATGTTTTATTAGTCTTTCTGTGTTTTTTCTGTAATCTTGGAATGAGCAGCTATATTCTCAGGGCCGGCGAGCCGGTGACTCCAAACCGGACCTTATTCTCCGCCGGCGGGGAATTCGAGTTAGGATTCTTCCGCCCCGGGAACTCTTCTTCTTCCCCTTCCTTTCTCGGGATATGGTACACCCCAAGCCCCCTCAACGACAGCGTGATTTGGGTCGCAAACAGAGAATCTCCGCTTCCTCATCACGATTCTGAGCCCCTTTTCAAGCTCGGCGATGATGGGAATTTGCAGATTTTGGACGGCCGGAGAAATATCATATGGTCAACAAATGTCTCCGGCGCCGGAAACCCCGTAGAGGCTTATCTGCAGAACAACGGAAACCTCATTCTGAAGCAGGGTGATAGCCCAGTTTGGGAGAGCTTTGACGACGCCGGCGACACATTAATGCCGGAGATGAAACTTATGGTAAACACAAAAACCAAAAAACAAAACATCATCAGATCTTGGACTAGTATTAACAATCCCCGACCAGGGAAATTCTCCTGGGGAATGGATCCAAAGGGATCTCTGCAATTTTTCATTTGGAAAGAAAACAGACCTTATTACAGAAGCAATTTATACCAAGATGGGTTTGCTAAAACTATGCACTTTTCAGGATTAGGACACACCACAACCTACACTTTCGCTGCAGAAAATAACGAAGTTTATTTCCGCTATGTCTGTGATAATCCCTCAATTCAAATGAGGTTTGTCTTAACCCCAGATGGGTATATTGAGACAATGTTGAAGAACACTACTAAAACTGACAAATGGCGCATACCATGGAAGGTGCCAACCAATCCTTGTGAGCTTTATGCTCGCTGTGGATCATTCGGAAGCTGTGAGAAAACTGGGTTTTCAACCTCCATTTGCAGGTGTTTGGAAGGGTTTAAGCCGAAATCGCAGAGGGAATGGGAGAATGGGAATTACAGTGCAGGGTGTGAGAGGAAGAGGGAGTTCAGGTGTCATAATAAGGATGATGACAAGTTCAAGAAGTTGCAGAAGATGAAATGGCCAGATTACTCAGTTTCTTTGGGGAATATGGCAATTGAGGAATGTGAAGAACAGTGTTATAGCAACTGCTCCTGCACCGCTTTCGCCTACGCCAATATCAGTGAACACCATCCTCCCAATTGCTTAAACTGGTTCGGCGATTTGGTTGATTTAACATACAACTATTCTGTTGGTGTTAATGGTTTCGGCCAAGATCTCTATGTTCGTGTTCATTCCTCCGAGCTAGGTACCGAAACATGTAAACTACGGTTAGAATTAAGCGTTTACCACTATAGAGACTGGGTGTTGGAATTGGCCCTTCAGGCCTCGGCCCAGCAATAACTGCTATTGCATCCTTAAAAGATGTTGTTTCTATATCATATCTTTTCTTTAATGATGTTCATGCAGATAATGGAAGCAGTGGAAATGGAGATTCAGATCATGACAAACACAAAGATCATTATCTTGTTGCAAAAATTGTTGGTCCAGTCTCTGGATTCATTCTTGTTTGTGTTTTGGTGTATATCCTCAAACGAAAATGCTTCAAAAGCAAAGGTACATGTTCTGAGTATATTTCTCATTCCTAGCTATAAACTAATATTAAACAGGATTAATAAGTTGGTTCATATCATCTTACAATTATCTGTGTGAATATATACAGCAGATTGGCTATGTAAAAGCTCTGCAGTGGATAACTCATTATCAACTTCACCCCTCGTTGGAAACGACGATGTAGAGTTGGTGCAGTTCAGCTTGCAGAGAATAATTGATGCTACGAATAACTTCGACAGAGCAAACAAACTTGGAGAGGGCGGTTTTGGCCCGGTGTATAAGGTGACCAGACTGACCACTTCATTATACACTGATTTTTGTTTATGTTTGAGCAGAATTTGGTTATATATAATCTTGGTAAGTTGTTTCAGGGGTTCTTATCAGAATTCGGGATGGTAGCCATTAAAAGGCTATCGAAGCGATCATCGCAAGGTCTGGAGGAGTTCATGAACGAGCTGAAGCTGATTGCCAAGCTACAGCATACAAATCTTGTGAGCTTGTTGGGTTACTGCACTGAGGATGAAGAGAAAATACTAATCTATGAGTACCTTCCCAAAAGAAGCCTTGATAAATTCTTATTTGGTACATTTGAATTGTGATCCTTTTCACTTACTGCAATCTAGCTTGGATTTATCATATCCCCACTTATAATCCCTCATTAATCTATAAAAGCACTTTTGTTATCACAGATCCATTGGAGAAACATCATTTGGATTGGAGCACACGAGCGCAGATAATAGAAGGAATTGCTCAAGGAATTCTATATCTTCACAAGTATTCTCGACTGAAAGTCATTCATAGGGACCTAAAAGCGAGCAACATTTTACTTTGTGAAACGATGAAACCCAAGATATCAGACTTTGGAATGGCAAGGATTTTTGGACTTGACCAGACTCAAGCGGAAACAAATCACGTGGTTGGAACATAGTAAGTGTAGCCAGAATCCACTCTCGGTCGATCAATGTTTTATTTACTTTATATATAACTTTATAAGTTCAAATCATATAACTAATGTATATTCATTTTTTTTTTTTTTGTCTAGTGGTTACATTCCACCAGAATATGTATTGCGCGGTCAATTTTCTGAGAAATCTGATGTGTTCAGCTTTGGAGTGCTGCTGTTAGAAATTGTTAGCGGACAGAAGAACTCTGAATTTTTTCATCAGACTCAACTTTCAGACACCTTACTAGGATGGGTAGGCAATTTCACAACTTCATGAAGTTATAAGCAAAGGAAAAAAGACATAATGGTTTCGTTTCTTTCATTTTTCTTTGCATTAGGCATGGGTAAACTGGAAAGAGGGAAGACCACTTGAATTTGTCGATCCAGCAATAAGAGAATCATGTGACTCTCTCAAAGCTATAAGGTGCATCGAGGTGGGACTTTTATGTGTTCAAACAATTCCAACAGACAGACCAACAATGTCTAATGTAGTTCGATTGTTGTGCACCGACCACGCAACACCAATTCCACCACTAAAAGAGCCTGCATTTGTCACTAGCCATTCCAATACCAATGTTGGTTCTATTTCTCATCGAGTGGTAAGTGATTCATATTCCCAAAATGAGATTACAATTAGTGTTCTTGAGTCACGATAACATTATTCATCATTTTGTGCAAATGATTCATGTCATCCATTGATGTGCTCTTGTACATAATTTTATCAAGCCTTTCTTTATAAATTATTAATGATACCTATAAGTCAAATTGCTAACACAATTTACTATTCTCTGATTACCATTTACTAAACATAGCCACTGTCAAATTAATCAACCAGGTTTCTTTTCTCTCTGACATGCATTTTACTTTAAGAATTTGTGGATATGGACAGAAGTAACCTAATTATATATTATTGTTGTATACAAGTGTATTCTATATTTCAGTTTTACAACATTTAATATTAAATTTTAAAATTTTCTATATTGTCGATCCTCAGTGGAGGCGATTATGATGTCATTTGATGTAATAGGTTGTATACGTGGGTGTCTCCCTTCCCTTATAAATAAATAAAAGATGGATAACATTTTTGTAAATATGTATTAAGTTTTTTACGCACCAATTTTAGAGAAAATTCACATTATTTTAGACTAAATACACATTAGTTTGACTTTCTTTTGAAGTATTGTTTTAGAGTAAATATGCCCAATCGAAACACTTGTTTTAATTCAAATTCCAATCTTCTTGGCCTAAATAGACATGATTACATGAACAAACTAGAAGTTTTTTTTTTTTTTTTTTTTTTGAATGCGAACAAACTAGAAGTTTAAATGCACTTTGTTTTACGATAAATACACATAGGTTAATTGTGTGTATATATTGGTAGTATAAACCAAAGTTATTGATAAAAATGAAGTTATGAATTGTGATAGATGGTGCCATGGCCCATGGGAGACCATTTTTATTGATAAGTTTTGGCCCAAGGAAGGTTTTATTTTATTTTATTTATTTATTTTTTTTTTTGGCTAAGAAGAAAGGATAAATTGTTAAATTAAGGGGGTGTAGCTTGTAGGATTCAAACTTGCACCCTATGGGATAACAATATAAGCACTAATTATTCAAGTCACTCAAGATATTATGTATTAAAATGTATGATGCTCTATTTACTCGTGTGAAGACCACTAGCATTCAGGTAGTGGGGGACACATGTATACCCAAGAATGAAGAAAAATTAGAGCGATACATTTATCAAGCATGTGGATGGGTCTTTACACTATAAATAGCCACCCTTATTTCATCTTAAGACATGACCCCTTGGACCATTACAACACTCATAGCTTACTGACTTGTGGTCCTAATCTTCAACCCATACACCAGGGTTGATTATTAGCACCAACATTATCATTTCTAGTCCACGATTTGGACTATAGATTGTATTATTTATTTATTAGTTGGGCCGTTATTTTGGCCCAGTATCTCGAGCTTTGTACATACATTTTAGGTCTAGTGCCCGAACAATAATATACTATTTTTCAACCCTAATTTGGTACTTTCATACCCGATTTGTGGTAAATCCGGTCCCAACAAAATTATCAAAATGATATACTAAAATTATAACTAAAGTAATTGTTAAATTTAGCACATCACTATTACGCAAAAGGAAAGTATCATCCTCACTATCTTAGATCATTACCAATTTGGTCTCACATAAAAATTGTCATTTTGTGTTAGTAAATTCATGTATCATTTGGACAAATTTGTTAACAAGCCACAAATATTCGTTTACTGGATGAGAAACATCATTTAAAGCTTGCTTTCAACAATAGGGTTATGGTTTGGTTCTTGAATTTCCCGAACATGGGGGTTTAGATTTGAATTGAGTTTCATATGAAGAGAAGTGTACATTTTGGTGATTATGAATTTTTTTTTTAATAGGAATAAGGGTCAAATAGGCCACTCAACTGTACACCAAACTACAATTAGGCCATCAAACTAAAAAACAATGCAATTGGATCCCTGAACAACACAAAGTAATGCAATTAGGTCCAAAATGACCTGTTTACCGGGAAGAACGGCTTACCGATTTTAAGAATAATTTAAAATAAAATAATTAATTAAAATTAAAATTTAAATTAAAAAAAAAAAAAAAAACCTAATCTACTGGATTCGTCTCCATGGCCGGAACCTTCGTCTCCAGCCATGGAGACGAAGGGAGAAACTCCATGGCCGGAGACCACCGGCCATGGATCGGAGACGAAACTCCATGGCCGGAGACCACCGACCATGGAGATGAAACTCCATGGCCAGGAGGTCCCTTCGTCTCCATGGCTGGAGACGAACCTCCGACGGTAGATTAGGTTTTTTTAAAATTTTTTTTTTATTTTTAATTAATTATTTTATTTTAAATTATTTTTGAAATCAGTAACCTGTTCTTCCAGATAAACAGGTTATTTTGGACCTAATTGCATGATTTTGTGTTGTTCAGGGACTCAATTACATTATTTTTGAGTTGAGTGGCCTATTTGATCCTTATTCCTTTTTAATATATACCTAAATATTTTCTAACTTTTTTTTTTTTTTTTTTTTTTAAATATAGCCCCTAATTTTAAAAGACAACCCTAAAAGGCTAAAGTAACGTAAACTTTACTTTTGACCATTTCATAATGCATCGAATCCAAATTGTGGAATATTGGCTCATTTCAATTCAAAGTCATTTGTCCCTCATCAACTTGGGTCCTTAAGCGTTTGCGGAACGAAAGGGGTGAAAAAAGTTTTTACATTTTTTAATGGTAACATTCTATGGGGTTTCAAAATTACTATTAAAAAAAATCAAATTTATCAGTGAAAAATTTGTAAGTAAATTAATAATACTGTTTGGTTCAAATACTATAATCAGAATCATAATTAAAATCAAATACTTGGTAATTATAATGAATTTTGGGAAAAAAAATTACTTTGTTTTGTAGTTTCATCAGGATATGATACTTGAGCATGCAGTGACCCAAACTAAACATGCTTAGGGTTGGCTATGACGTTAAAGATTTGGAAAATGATTATTTCTCCATTTTCTTTAATCCCTTAGCAGTAGGGATGGCAACGAGGCGGGGGCGGGGAGTATACTCCCCGTCCCCGTTCCCGAAACTCCGACCCCGTCCTCATCTCCAACGGGAAATTGAAAATAGTCCACATTCCCGTTTCTGAGGGGAATTAACCGGGAACAGAGAATTCCCGTTACCGGTCAACTCTTAGTCAAAAAATTTAAATTACTATAATTTTTAATTTTAAAAACTAAAAATTTATATCATAATTTGAAAAATTAATATATATATATATATATATATATATATATATATATATATATATATATATATATATATATATATATATAATTATTCGTGGACGGGGTGGGGCGGGAATGGGTATCCACGTCCCCGTCCCCGTCCCCATTCCCGCGAGAAATTTCAAATATTCTCCCTCATCGTCCCCGATCTCCGAAATTTTTTCCCGTCCCCGTCCCCGTCCCCATTCCCTTTGAGGACGGAAATCCCCAATGAGAACGGGGCACATTGTCATCCCTACTTAGCACCCCTTCTTGATGTTATTAACTTAAAGGCATTAAATTAAAAAAAAAAATTGATTAGTCAAAACATTTTTATTCAAATCATTCCTTAAGTCGAGCCGTATAAAAAATTCAGTGAAAATGAGGGGGTGTATATATAGCATGATTCTAAAGATTTTGTGTTAGCCTTGAAAAGTATTCTTATTGGTTTATAAGTACTGCTAAGGTATTAAAAAAAAATTAAAAACTTTATTGGATTATAACTATTTATTTTAACTTCTAAATATATTTATATGAAAATGACTTAAAATAAGATTTATTCAAACCTTATTATTAATTACTGGATAGCAACTTCTATGTGTCAACATAGACTAATCATTAATAGACTACACTTATTTATTTATTTATTTTTACACGTAAAAAATATATTAAAATTTGCTGTAACAACGGTTGGGTAACTCCAGCAAAAATTTATCGAATAGTTAACTTACTAACTACAAATTTTTAAGTTTCACTCACCCTTCCCCAAAGCTCACGTCTTTATGTCTTCTATATTAATAGTACTTCGTAATAAAATAAGTAATATAACAAGGTATAGATTCTTTCCGTACAATAATAAAATTTGTACACTTAGTTAATCAATTTAATCTGAAAAAGGGAAGACGTGCTAGACTTTGGGTCTATATTAAGTCATGTCTTATAATAGCAGTTCATTAATCATTAATTTAATTCGAAAAAGGGAAGACTTGATAGACTTTGGGTCTATGTAAATCATGTCTTCCACTCTTGGAATTATATATATATATATATATATATATATATATATATATATATATATAGGAAAAATGGCACTTTTTCCCCTGAGTTATATACCTATAGCATTTTTTCCCCCTAAATTATTGAAGTGGCTGTTTTTTCCCTTGAAATGTTAAATGGACATATTTACCCTTAAACTAAATATTTAATTTATTTTTTTTCTCCAACAAATTATGACCATAATTTGGTTCAAACTAAACAAACACTATAGCAACCAAACCGAAATATTCCAATTACAATTTAGAATCGAAATTCGATATTTAGAGTTTATTAAAATCGTGAACCGGAACAGACGGTTCATGTTCCGAACTGAAAAAATAAAATACATTTATTGTTGAATTTAGACTATTTTAAAATAAAAAATAAAATTTTAAAATAAAGACGGTTCAAAATCGCGAATCAGATCCGGAACCGCCGGTTAACGGTTTAAGATTCAATTTTTTGATACATAATTTTAATAAATTGACATTTAAATATTGGGTTCTAGATCTGAATTATAACCGTAAACTATTAATTCGATTGCTTTAGTATCCGGTTCAATTCAAACCGAACCATGATCATCCCTACGTATACGCAATAATTTGTTGGAGTAGTAAAATAAATAAAATGTTTACTTTAAGGGTATAAATGTCAATTTAATATATCAGGGGGGAAAAAGCACCACTTTTAGAATAATTGAGGGGGCTAATGTGCTTACCTAAATAATTGAAGGGGAAAAAGTGCTATAAGTATATAACTCAGGGGTAAAAAGTGCCATTTTCCCTATATATATATATATATATATATATATATATATATATATATATATATATATATATATATATATATATATATATATAGGCTTTGGATCTGGTGCACCCCTCTAATAGATGAGCCCATGAGGCCTAATAATACGCATTGATTAGATTCCCATCTATGGTTGAGATTAAAAGAAATATTTTCAGTTATTATCTATGGTAAGGTTAGATTAGTAATTTGGTTAGCTGATTTAATTAATGAATTAATTTAAAAGGAATATGAATCATCTTTTGATGCTTTTGAGGATGGAAATTAATAGATTCTATTAATAAAAAGATTAGATAACATATTTAACGTGAACAAGCTGGTGATGGTAGGAGCAGCAAGTTAGGACTTTCAGCAAATGGACATTGGCAATCACGGTAAGTGCATATACACAGCATAGTCTGTGCGTTTTCTGGTTTTTCCGGTAATGGTTGAGATGTGAAAAGGTCTGGGGGTGGTCGTTAGCATGCGTTCACACCCCGTGTGCGTACGGGTACACCTGCCTGTGCGTACATATATACTTCCACCGAGCTGTTTATGTGTTGTTTTTGCTTTGCCTTGTACTGCTCAGTGCATGTGTACTTTTTTGTCCGTGCATATTAGGTTGTTTTTTGTTTTCATCCGTGCATACTTCGTGTCGGTGCATATGCTGGTTTTTGTATAATGCTTATAACATATACGCCGTTCTACCTTACAAAAAACCTGCTTTGTGTCCGTGATTTTGGTATTCTTTTGGTTTGTACCAATAAGTGCTTGAACGGTTCGAGTCTGTGCGTATGGTCGTTTTGAATATTGCTTATCAACTGGACGATGAAGGGGGGTGTCCGAGATTGGAACGTTGCATTTTTTTTTTATTAACAGGAGTTAGCATTTTAAGAAACGGGTCTGTGCATAATTCAATCTTTATATATATATATATATATATATATATATATATATATATATATATATATATATATTACATGTAAAAACGCACAAATCTTGGGGCCTATGCACATACAATAATTTAAAATGCACGGACTACATAATACACTACATACTATAAATGCACGGACTGCATATGTGTGTTATGCACATTTCCATCTACTTATGCAAATTTCAAAATTTAAATAACCATGCATTAACCAAAAAGCTGGGTAATGAACGGTAATAGCAAATTGACCATAGAAATAATGCGTAATACCAAATTGGTCATCGCGAGGGCAAATTCACTTATATATATTATATACATGTATATACGCACAAACCGTTGTGGACCAATGCATAGACAACAAATTATAATAATATATGAATTAGTACACCTAAAAAAAAAGTGCATGTATGGAATGCGTTGTAGACGAAAGGTACGTGCATAGTTGCGCACTGGATATCATGTGCGAAAGGCAGTGTAAAATAGACGAATAATATTTCATATTTAAGTTTTATCGCACTGTTAATAAGAAAACTCGAAATGACATATGGTCCAAGTCCGAAGCAATACATAAATACAAACAAAAACGTAGAGTTGGGGGTAGAATAATAATACTAAATATAATAAAGGTGTTCAACGAGACGAGTCAGTTGCCCTCATGGCGGAGTTGAAATTCATTCGGCGATGGGTGTTGTTTTGAAACAGCAGGATATCATACATATATCGTGTGCGTAAGGCACGCAAGGCACGTGCGTCACCTCCGCAAAAACCACAATCCCATGAAGCATAGGGCTGTCCAATATAAACTAGTGCCAATTAGATTGTACATTACACTTTAACCTGCACAAAGGAACATATTGCTATGCACAAACCTATGCCACCGATTACGTAAGCTCAAAAAATCCAAAAAACAACAAAAAATAAACACACAAACAACCAATACACGTGGTGGAACACACATACGTACATAACCGAAATAAAATCAACAGTAACAAACCTGACACACCTTACCCCTAACATGCACAGAGTAACAACTACAACGCACCAACCACCCCACCCAAGCTAGGACCTTTTTTCTACTTGCAGAAAGAACAGCATAAGTATACAACAAAAATGCAGGGCACATTCAACACCACAAAATGTCAAGATTCACCTATTTTTTTCTTCACCCTTTTAAAACCACAGCGAATGTGGACATGAAACAATAAAATCAACAATAATGAGAGAACAAAAACATGCACATCTGAACATTTTCAACCAGATATACTTTGGGGATTTCAAAAGTATAAATATCATTTATTGCCATTCCTATTCACTGCTTACACTGATTTTCCATTCTTTACAGCAATAAAAACACAATAGTTAGCACACACTGAGCTAAACTTACTTCCACTAATATAAACACATTCGAAATTCATGACAACAGTAAGTGGCTACTTTACTAAAATTTAAGATATGGCCAGATGAACCTGCAAAAACTAAACAATCTTGTACCCAAAAAAAAATAAAAAAAATATATGATTTGGGATGACCATTTGTTTGGCATTCCCATCAATCACCGTACTTTGTTTTGTTTGTTGATAGGTATCACCATACTAAAGCTTTAACACACCATATACCAGCTCACTCATCCCCTAAAATGTAAAAACACTAACTAGAACCGCTCAAACACATAGGGGGAAAAAACAGTGACAAAAAAAAAGATGAAAAAAAAAAGATAAACTGTACCTACCCAGTTCCCCCTCCCTGCCCGCCTCCCCAGTTCCCCCTCCCATCCCGCCTCCCAGAGCCGGCGGTCCAGACACCAAACTCCCACAGAAGGAACACACAAAACCCCCAAAACGGAGGCACACACAAAACCCCCCGAAACGGGGATTGAAAAAAAACAATAGCAAAAAAAGGGGGATTGAGATTACCTTCTATGGAAACACCGTTTGACCTCCGATATACCAGCTCACTCATCCCCTAAAATGTAAAAACACTAACTAGAACCGCTCAAACACATAGGGGGGAGAAAACAGTGAAAAAAAAAGATGAAAAAAAAAAAAGATAAACTGTACCTACCCAGTTCCCCCTCCCTGCCCGCCTCCCCAGTTCCCCCTCCCATCCCGCCTCCCAGACCCGGCGGTCCAGACACCAAACTCCCACAGAAGGAACACACAAAACCCCCCAAAATGGAGGCACACACAAAACCCCCCGAAACGGGGATTGAAAAAAAACAATAGCAAAAAAAGGGGGATTGAGATTACCTTCAATGGAAGCACCGTTTGACCTCCGTTGCCTCTTCGATCGGCGGACAGTAGACCCAACCATGTTGAACGCTTGAGTTGTGATGGAGAGGGAGACAATGATGGAGAGCAAGAGTTGTGATGGAGATGGAGAAAGACGCAGAAGAGTTGTGATGGAGAGGGAGAGTTGTGATGGAGAAGACACAGAAGACGAAGAAGGTAAGAAAAGGCGAGAAGGGTCAGAAGCTACGCAGATTTTCGAGGCAAAATTAAATACACATTATAATTATAGTAATTGCAAAAATTACAAAACAATCCCTATTCTACTCTTAAGTCTGATGCACGTGGCAAAAAAGCCCAATTCATCTGGACCATTTATCTACACTAATTAAGGGTCAGAAAAGGTGCTCACGAGCTCATCTGCCAAGGGGGTGTGCACCGGATCCAAAATATATATATATATATATATATATATATATATATATATATATATATATATATATATATATATATATATATATATATATATATATATATATATATATATATATAAAATTAAGTTCTAGTGCGCGTAAGTATCTCTCGTGTGGTTGTGCGGTTGATTAATATGCGTGAGTTTTGTACTTAAGATGCGTGCGTCTTGTGCTTAAGGTGCGTGAGCTATTTGTGCTTAATGTGTGTGAGTGTGTACTTAATTTTGTGCTTAATGTGCATGAGTTTTGTACTTAAGGTGCGTGAGTCTTGTGCTTAAGGTGCGTGAGTGTGTACTTAATGTGAGTTGTTGTTGAAACTTTAAGATGCATGAGTTTTGAGCTTAATGTGCGTGAGTTTTGTGCTTAACGTGCGTGGATTTGTGCTTAATGTGAGTAGTTGTTGAAACTTAAAAGGTGTCTGAATCCTGTGCTTAAAGTGCGTTAGGCTTGTGCTTAACTTGCGTGAGTTTGTGTTCTTAAGGTGTTTTGTTTGTGTACTTAATGTGCGTGTGTTTTGTACTTTAAGTGCGTCAGATTAATATTTAATGTGCGTCCACCCGCAAAATTGCACGAGAAGTCTCACCTGCACTTGATCCCTTTCCTCTATATATATATATATATATATATATATATATATATATATATATATATATATATATATATATATATATATATATATATATATATATAGAGGAAAGGGATCAAGTGCAGGTGAGACTTCTCGTGCATATATATATATATGTATATATATATATATATGTACATATACATATATACACACACACACACACACACACACACACACACACACACACACACACATATATATATATATATATATATATATATATATATATATATATATATATATGGTTGAGTTCAAATAAGGACAACAATATATAGATGACTGTGAGGACAAATAATGGGCACACAATAAATTTATACCAGGCACACAACTTAATACATAATGACACACAAGAATAAATGTAAACATCAGGTTTCGAACCCAGGCTCTATAAATTAAAAAATCTAGCACGCGACATACAAACTGTGGCACACGACTACATTCGGCCATGCACACGACATACCGGTTAATGGCACACACTACATCTGTCCTCACAGTCCTCTATAATATATACTTGTCCTCATTTGAATACACACACACACACACACACACACACACACACACACACACACACACACACACACACACATATATATATATATATATATATATATATATATATATATATATATATATATATATATATATATATTGGTTTTTGTTTTTGGACTGAGGAGAAAAATATGCCGTCCTTATTTAAGATTGAACAGAAAGTAAATTTTATTTTGTGACTTTAACTAACAAATTAAATGATCATAAAAAAATAAACCAACTTAGATTATTCGTAACTTGTTCAAAACAAGAAAACCAATAGACTGCTCTCATTTGAATAGCCTTACTAAAAAAATTTTAAAATCATTTTATAGGTTCTCCAATTTGGGGGAAGCTAGCGTTTCTCTCCATCTTTTTTTTTTTTTTTTTTTTGGTTGGGGGTCATGTTTTGTCTTTTTTAGCATTCTTTTTTGATACATTAGGTATCTCTATAAGAGTAAGTGTTGAGGTAAATCGCGAGTTGTCCTTCCCTTTCTTAGATTTTTGTCCTGTTTATACATAGTAATATTTATCTTAATCACCTTATCGGTTTAGATCTCTCAATGACCTCTAAGTTAATAGTGGGATTTCTTCAATTCAGTTAATTAATTTAACAATACATTCCATAAAAGAAATTCAAGTATGCTAATAAAAATGAAGAATAAGAAGAAGAAGACGACGACGATAACACTAAGGGGGTGTTTGGTTGGATGTAGTTGAAATTTCTTTCCTACTTTATTCTGTGGCAAAACAAATTACAATGTTTGGTTGAATTGCAATTCATGAGCACCTTCCATGAATTGTAATTCGGTGGTTACGTTGTGAAATTAGAAAAATGGAGGAATTGACAAAAGTACCCTTAGTAGTAGTAGTAGCAGCAGTAGCAGTAGCAGTAGCAGCAGTAATAGTAGTAGTAGTAGCAACCGCAATAGTAGGAGTAGCAGACTAGCAGGAGTAGCGCAGCAGGGCAGCTACGGCAGCGGCAGTGGTAGTGGTAGTAGTAGTAGTAGTTGTTGTTGTTGTTGTTATTATTATTACTACACAAGGACATTTTAGTCTTTATACAATTTTTTTCATTCTCAATCATAATAATTTTATTCATCCCTACCGAAAAATGTAATTTGAATTCCTACTTTATTTCCACCTTATTATTTTCTTACCGAATTACAATTACCTTTCCTTGTTATTGTTGTTGTTGTTGTTATTATTATTATTACTCCGTATTACTACACAAGGAAATTTTAGTCTTTATACAATTTCTTTCATTCTTATTCATAATAATTTTATTCATCCCTACCGAAAAATGTAATTTGAATTCCTACTTTATTTCCACATTATTTTTTTTACCGAATTACAATTCATTTCCTCCTAACCAAACGTCATGTAAGGGGGTGTTTTGTATACCGTAATTGTAATTCTTTTACAATGTAATTTTTTGGCTTGACAAATTACATTTTTTGGTTGGAGGAAATTGTCATTCCACATAATTGCGATTCCATCCACCGTAAGAAAAAGACTCTTTTTACCCTTAGTAGTTATGGAGTATTATTTTTATTATTACAAAGGGACATTTTAATCTTTATTTCATTTATTCCCTCACTATTCTCAATAATTTTATTTTTTCATACCAAAGAATGTAATTTTAATTCATATTTTATTCCACTTCATTCTCTTTCCATACTCTAAATTACAATTCCTTTTTTCCTAAGTCAAATCCGGATTGATCTTCCATAGACTTGCATCTGGGACCACCTTTCCTATCTAGTCTTTTCCCTCCCCCTATAGGTACCTGTTAATTGCATGGAAAAGCTAAACTGGGGGCGGTAATGGTTTGTTAACGGCGGAGGGTGACGATATATATATACAGGATGGGTTCGTTGCGTTCCGAATGGGTTTTGTCCATCACTTAGCTTGTTAATACTTCCATGGGATCGTATGTTTTATTAGCCTTTCTGTGTTTTTTGGGCAACGTTGGAGCGAGCAAAGACAGTTGTCTCCGACACGGACATCCGGTAACTCGAAACCGGACCTTAGTCTCCGCCGGCGGGAACTTCGCGTTAGGATTCTTCCGCCCCGGCAACTCCTCTTCTTCCTTTCTGGGGATTTGGTACAACGCCGTCAACAACACGGTGATCTGGGTGGCCAACAGAGAATCTCCTCTGCCTCAAGATTCCGACGCCCATTTCACACTCGGCGACGATGGGAATTTGCTGCTTTCGGTTTTGGATGGCGGCGGAAGAAATACTATTATATGGTCCACGAATATCTCCGGCGCCGGAAACTCTTCCGTCGCCCTACTGCTAGACACGGGAGAGCTTGTTCTGAAGCAGGGCGAGAGCATCGTTTGGGAAAGCTTTGATGGCGATAGCGATACATTAATGCCGGGGATGAAGCTAAAGGTAAACAAGAAAACTGGAAAACGGAACGTGATCAGATCTTGGATAGGCAGTAATGATCCCCGGCCGGGGAAATTCTCCTGGGGAATGGATCCTAAAGGGTCTCCTCAGCTTTTGATTTGGAAAGAAGATGTTCCTTATTCTAGGAGCAATTTGTTCCAGGATGGGTTTACTTATAGTAGGTACTTGCCAGAACTGGGATACTCTGCATATTACTCTTTTGCTACACAAAACTATGAAGAATATTTCAGCTATGGATATGCTGACACCTCATTTCAACCAAGGGCCATCTTGACTCCTAGCGGCCATGTTCAGTTACTGTTATTGCAAAAAGGAAGAGGAGATAATAAATGGCTGATACTATGGCAAGTGCCAGCCACCAAGTGTGATTTATATGCACACTGTGGTTCATTTGGGATGTGTGAGCAAGATGGTTCAGACTCAGTTTGCAGTTGCTTGAAAGGGTTTAAACCAAAATCACAGAAAGATTGGGATAAGGGGAAGTATGATGGAGGGTGTGAGAGGAGCATAGCGTTGGGATGTGGAGAAGATGATACATTCATGAGGCTGCCGATGATGAAATGGCCTGAGCATTCATCTTCACTGGGAAATATGACATTTGAGGAATGTGAAATGGAGTGTTCTAACAACTGCTCCTGCACGGCTTTTGCTTATGCAAATATCACTCCTGACTCTCAGGTCAATTGTATAAACTGGTTTGAGGAATTGGTCGATTTGACGCATAACTATTCAGCTGGTCTTAACGATTTCGGCCAAGATCTCTATGTTCGAGTTCATGCATCTGAGCTAAGTAATAAACCTGTTTGTCTTTTCTTTCAATTTTTTAAATTTCTTTATGTACAAAATGCGAAATCTCTCACCTAGATCGAGGTGTCCAAACGGATAGGTTAGCTGCAAGTAACTCCAAACTAGGTATGGCCCATTTTGGGTCACTTTGGTCCAGTCCATTTACTATGACTCTGTTTGGCAGAGCTTATTTAGAAACTTGTAACTTATTTTAAGTTACTAATAAGCTATAAGCTCTATTTGATAATGTTTCCAAAATAAGTTTCTAGCTTAAAATAAGAACTTATTTTGGAACGCTACCTTGGTAGCCTTTCAAAATAAGCTCCTAGCTTCATAACTTTTTTTCCATTTTTATCCTTATTATTTTAAAGAAATGACATAATTTACCCTTCTCAATTAAAACTCTTTTCTCTTCTCCTTTATCTGCAAGACTGCAACTTTCACCACAATTATTATTATTATTATTATTATTATTATTATTATTATTATTATTATTATTATTATTATTATGAGATTTGCAACAATATTGTTACTTTATTATGAAATGCTAGATCATGATTATGCTAATAGTTTTATTTCAAAATGTTAATTTTTTTTAAAGACAAAATGTTAAATTTTAATATGTGAACAAACTAATTTAAATTATATGAAAATGTCCTTTTTAGTCATTTTACATTTATCAGCTTATCAAAAAGCTAATTTTACCAAACACTTTTAATCATAACAGCTAGCTTAACAGCTCTTCAATTTTCAGCTCCGAGCTTATAGTTTTTTAGTTTTCAAACTCCTTTTCAGCTTTCAGCTAGGTTTGCCAAATAGAGCCTATGATTAGTTGGTTTTATATTATAGGGATAGTTATGCAATGGATCGGAGTTCACCTTGCAAGGTGGATTTGAGTTATATTCACAATTTTAGAACTGCATATTCATAATTAATGATTTTTTTTTAAATTATTGAAAACAACTCAGCGAGTAAATATTCAGTTTTGTAATTGTGAATATAGGGTTCTTTAATTGTGAATATAGAGTTCTAAAATTGTGAATATAGGGTTCAAAAATGGTGAATATTGAGTTTTGCAATTTTGTATATTGAGATCTAAAATTGTGAATATTCACTTCTAATATTGTGAATATAGAGTTAAAAATGTGAATATAAATTTCAAAAATTGTTAATATAACCTGAATTCACCTTGTAAGGTGGACACATGCCCACAGCATAATTTGTCATATACGGCAAATTATGCTGTGCATCCGTATGCACCATTCATGGTGCATACGGATGCAAAAACAACGTCGTTTTAATAAAACGCGCGTCTCCCCTTGAAAAAAAAAAATCAGGTTCGATTCCCAGCAACAACATATGAACTAAAATTCCATAATCGATGAACTATAATTCCATAATCTAATCTATGAACTAAAAATTCCAGAATGAATGAATTAAAATTCCATAATCTATAAACTAAAATTTCAGAATCGATGACTATAATTCCATAATCAATGAACTATAATTCCATAATCAATGAACTATAATTCCATAATCTATGAACTAAAATTCCAGAATGAATGAACAATATAATGTTGTTGCCTTGAATCGAACCTGAATTTTTTTTAAAGGGGAGACGCGCGTTTTTTAATAAAACGACGTCGTTTTGGCATCCGTATGCACCATGCATGGTGCATACGGATGCACAGCATAACTATCCATAATCTAAAAACATAATAAGTCTCAATCAAAGTTATATCCCTCATTTATGTCCACGTTTTTAATGCTAATCATTTTGTACATTGTGCTTTTAGAGTTGTACTATACAATTTTTTGGACAAAAATACCCTTACCCCATTATAACTTCCGTTATCTTTTCCATTACTTTTACCATACACATGCATCTACCATATCTTTTCTTATATTCTTTAATCTAAGTGAAATAAAATTTATTTATTATATTAATCTAATATATAATGAATATATAATGTTTTACAAATATTGTTATAATTAGTAAAAATTTGTTAGCTAATTTTAAAAATATAAATATTGGGCATATGTTTTTGCGCATCGCGCATAGAAAAGACTAGTATACATATATACTTGAGTGATGTAATGACCTCATGTGTCTATCATATTAGAAACTATGAATGCGCATACTAATTAGTAATTATACGTTATGATATTTTAAAGTTGTATAATTTTGTTTGTTTTAAATTGAAAATATCTCTTACTACTTAATAAGCTAGTAGATAGTAGTTGTAATTTGTAAACTTTTATTATTAATGTTATTACCTTATTGATTTCTTTATTTTCTCTAATAATTCTTAAGCTAATTAAATACTAAAAAATAAATATGTAAACCTGTAAAGCTATTTTAGAAAGAATTCAAAAGAAACATAAATTAAATGAGTCGATAAATAATTTTAAATATTATTTCTATTTTTAATTTTTAGGGCTATGGTCCAAATTAAAAATAAACAAGCCCATGACGGGTCGGACCAGATCGGTTTAAGTCCGCTCATTTAATACCTCTACCCGAGTTTTACAAAAATCGTAGAAGAGTTAAATCATAATTTAGTAGGACAGTATGTACCCCCTTAAATGGGAAGATGATGCCTACAAAGAGTCACTCTCGCAGGATGGTGAAACTTTACATTGCAATTGACATGATTCAATCATGCGTACTTAGGTACAATCTTTTACCTTAAATACAATCTTTTTTATTCATTTAAGAACCAAATGAGCTACCCGTAAGGGTTACTTTTGAATTTCTTTAGCTCTTAATATGGTTGTTGAGGCATTCCACAGTACTTTCACATGAATGATTTAGAAATGTGTTAATGCAGATGGAAGCGGTGGAAATGGACATTCAGCTTACAAAAACAAAGTTGTTGTTGCAGTAATAGTTGTTTCAGTGTCTGCATTCTTTCTTATTACTGGATTCGTGTACCGTACAAGGAAAGGTATACACATTATGGCCCTGTTTGGTAAATGACTGTTAGTTGATAGTTTTATCTATTAGCTGATTGACTTAATTAGAGAGTATAACTAGTTGATGATAACATTAGTTGATTGTAGAAAATGTGTTTGGTAAATTAGCTGTTAGCTGAAAGTTGTTTGGTATATTTTTTTCCTCAAAAAACTAATTGAAAAAGTTATTTTGAGCAGCTTTTTGAATTTTAGCATTTTAGAGTTACAAAAAAGCTAATTAACCAAACATTTATATTGATTTTTTAAACAAATCAAACAATTAATAATGATCAAATAAATCAAAATTGACTGATAAGCTAACTATTTTACCAAACGAGCCTATATTTTTCCTTGCAATTAAGTTAGCATATGTTCAATCCCTAATTTCTGTGTAAACACAGGTTGGGTGTGTAAAAAGTCTACAATGTCAACTGCACCCCCTGTTGCAAAGGATGATGATATAGAGTTGCTACAGCTCAGCTTGCAGAGTATAATTGATGCTACAAACAGCTTTGATGATGCAAACAAACTTGGAGAGGGTGGTTTTGGTCCGGTTTTTAAGGTGATATATATTTTAGGATAAATGTTTTACATATATACAACAATTGTTTTCTTCCTCTCTCAAAAGGTTAAATCACTAACCCCAAGGGCTCCCATGCTCTGACCCTAACAGAGCATTTGGGAGGTTGTAATTCACGACTACTCAATTGCTCAGCAAACATGACCAAATGTCGGTGCGCACAAAGGATTTGTCCACTTTGAACATAATCCCCCAACGATTATTTTTTATATTGGAGTTGGTTATAGTGATATTCTTTTTGCTTCAGGGATTTTTATCACAATTTGGGATGGTAGCCATCAAAAGACTATCTAAGCAATCATCTCAAGGTCAAGAAGAGTTCATGAATGAGTTGAAGCTAATTGCAAAGCTACAGCATACAAATCTTGTGAGTCTATTGGGTTGTTGCGTTGAAGATGAAGAGAAAATACTAATTTACGAGTACCTGCCTAAGAGAAGCCTGGACAATTTTTTGTTTGGTACATTTGTTATCTTTTCTAAAATTTAAATTCTTTAATGGGAGAATTGAGTCATTTAAATTCTTATTAACAAAATCTCTATGTTTCTCTCAGATGCATTTCAGAAAGACATTTTAGATTGGAGTACACGTTTTCAGATAATAGAGGGCATTGCTCAGGGAATTCTTTATCTTCACAAGTATTCTAGATTAAAAGTTATTCACCGAGACTTAAAACCAAGTAATATTTTACTTGATGAAACAATGAAACCCAAAATATCAGATTTTGGGATGGCAAGAATTTTTGGAATTGATCAAACTCATGCGAAAACAAACCATGTGGTTGGAACATAGTAAGTGATGTAGCTAGAATGTACTCTTGATTAAGATTTGATTCAATTGATGTCTTTCATAAGTTATTGCGTCTATAAATAATATTACTTTCTTTCTTGTTTGAACAGTGGCTACATTCCACCTGAATATGTATTGTACGGACAGTTTTCTGAAAAATCTGACGTATTCAGTTATGGAGTGTTGTTGTTAGAAATTGTTAATGGTCAGAAGAATTCTAACTTTTTTCACACTCAACTTTCGGTCACCCTCATAGGATGGGTACGCAATCTAAGTAACTTCATGATTTGGATATATATAAATTATATACACAAGAAACATATGTTACATCTTCATTTAATTTTCTTTGTATCAGGCATGGCTAAATTGGAAAAAAGGACAACTACTCGAATTTGTTGATCCAGCAATAAGGGAATCATGCGACACCCTCAAGATCATAAGGTGTATTGAGGTAGGACTTTTATGTGTCCAAGCTATTCCAATAGATAGGCCAACAATATCCGATGTAGTTTGCATGTTGAGCAATGATCCTGAAACACCAATTCCAACACTTAAAGAGCCTGCATATGTTTTTAGCAATTCCATTGCCATTGATCCTACTTCTCATCCAAAGTCAAGTGGTTCTAACTCCAGAAATGAGATTACAGTTAGTATTCTCCAACCTCGATAATAGAGCAGACATTGCCCTTTCGACTTTAATATGAGTTTGTCATATGGTTGTATTGACACAAACTTAGCTTCTAGCATAGAAGTGTTCCGTCTTCTTGGATTTTTGTACGTGAGATACAGAGTATATTGTTTTTATAAATAAAAACTTGTTTGAGTTTAAAGATGATAAAGGAACAAGAATTATGTAGAAATATATATATCTAAAGCTAGAAAAGTAATAAAGTGAATGGAAGTTAGTACTTTTTATTTATGTTTGTTTTTTCATTACTTCTTGAAAGTTACTTCTATTTCTGTTCCATTTTATCTGTTCTACTTATTATTCATGATTAAATCAACTCTTTCTTATTTATTTATTTTTTTAATATTTTTACTTATTTTTAAATTTTATTTTTGTGTTTAATAGTATTTTTAATGTAATTTCTAAATATATTAATAATGAACAAGTAACAAGCAATAGATAAACATCAAAAGGAGTTTGGACTAAACCAACCCATGCATAGATGCTATGCGTGTTTAATGACCATTGGACATCAATTACTGAATCCCATTTTCATGACAATTTAGTCTTGTTGTAATTTGGTCTATCAACTCGTTAGTTCTCGATTGATGATTACACGGTAATTGCCCGGAGATTATATATATATATATATATATATATATATATATATATATATATATATATATATATATATATAAGATTATAAAGTGTAGAGACGTAAGAAGAGAAGAATGACACAAGATGTAGAGCACAAACATGAGAACTCACTTTCATTAAGCCTTCACATGTATTTATACTAATCCATACAACCCTTCATATGCTTAACATAAACAATATATTAAGTAGAAGGAAAATGGAGAGTCTCAAGATTAATGGCCACTAATAAAATATTTATAACACTCTCCCTTGGCCATTAAATAACTATACTCATGCCTCGTTAAAAACCTCGCTAGAAAAACCCTGTGGGAAAAAATCTAGACGAGGAAAAGAGTACACGAAGTATGTCAAACCCTGAGTTGCACCGGTTGCCTCATTAAAAATCTTAGCCTAAGAAAACCCAGTGGGAAAAAACTCAGCCAAGGAAAAGAGTACAACCATAAGCCTTCTGGGAATAATCTTCAAAATTTCAAGGGTCTTCAAGACTATCCACTCAAGTGCACCAACATCGGTTGCCTCATTAAAAACCTTAGCCTAAGAAAACCCCGTGGGGAAAAAACTTAGCTAAGTGAAAAAGAGTACAACCATATGCTTTCGGAGCATAATCACCAGGATTTCAAAAGCCTTCTAGATTGCCCATTCTAGTGCAGTTAGGGGTTGTCGCTCCCCCTGAAGACGACAATATCCTTAAGCCTACGCATCCCAATTTTATGAACATATTACTCAAAAGTGGATGTAGGCAGAGACTTAGTGAACATATCTACAAGATTGTTCACTAGGGAAAACTTTCTCAACAAGAATTTTACCACTCTTCTGGAGTTCATGTGTGTAGAAGGATTTAGATGCAATATGTTTTGTATGGTTCCCCTTAACAAACCTATTACTTGCTTGTGCAACACAATCTTATTTGTCCTCATATGGGACATTGGGGGTAAAAATATAACATAACCAGTTTTGGACTTGGCATCATAAGGAACAAATAAAAGAGCCAGTGCCCAAGTAGCCCATCAAAACCACATATTGGTTTCTTAAATAAACGTCAAAATCTTTGTACCTCGAAGGTGCTGGAGGATATGTTAAATATCATTCCAACTTTCATTGTAGGGGGAAACACTAAATGTTGCTAGCAATTTCATCGCAAATTCAATATCAGACCTGATGCGATTATGGAACTTCTAGTTCAATAATAGTGCTCCAATAGGAATGAAGTAATGGACTTCCCCAGTCCTAAAATATCCTCATTATCATCTTCGAGTCTAAATGGTCCTTTATCTACTTCAAGAGATTATTGGACTACCATTGGTGTGATAAGTAAATAATACTTATCCATATAAAACATCTTCAAGATATTTTTCAAGTAGGCTAACTGGTATATAAACCTCTTCAAGGAGAAGCTCGAGCTTCAGGTCGATACAATACTTGGGTTTCCCAAGTCTTTTATTTTAAAAACTCCATCTTTCAGCATGAGCTAATATCATCAAGCACTCTATGTGTTTCATTAATGTTTAAACCATCAATATCGACTGAGATGATAAATAAATAACTCCATTAGCAATTCGTTAACGAACACATAATATCACATATTATTTGCATATTCCTTCTTCGGGAGGAAAAAACTCAGTCAATAATATTCAAGTCATACAAAGATTTGGTAGTTTAATGCTACACGTTGCGATTTTCACTTTCCTTATTTCAAAAGTGTACAATCCATCAGGGATTTACAAATAAATATTAGCGTCTAATGACCCATAAGTTTGTTGGTCATGACGTTCATCAACTGCATATCTAAATTTATAATTCACTACCAATAATGTTAATTTGCGGAACGTAATGCCATATGTTGTGGGAGAGAATATTTGATCAAAATCAATTCAGGGTCTCTGCGTAAACCCTTAAGCTACCAGTCTCGCTTTATATCATACCACCATATTGTTTGTATTTCTCTTTTGTAGAAACACCCATTTGTAACCTACAGGGTTAACATTAAATGGTGTACGTGTTATAAAGAGAATACAGTTTTAGCGAGCTGAGCAATACATGCCTTAATTGCTCTTTTATACATTAAAAAAATCAGGGCACTACTGGTGCCTAGCTTTGGATCCAGATTCTTATATACTAAGAGCAATTTATAAGGCAATTATGTTGTCGACAACTATAACATTTTTCATAAATTTCTCCCATATATATAAAATAATGGCAATTTCTAATTCAACCAGACTCTAGCCATTTCCCAAAGATATTTTTATCTGGTCGTTCCGCATCCCCAGTATTATGATTTTGGGTGCACCTATCATTTTACTGGGATTTTTCACATTCCAGACGAATGTCTTCTGGACGAATATCTGCAGGACATACTTCTTTAAGCGATTTCAAGAGTGACGAAATTTTCTACTAGCTTTAGCTTTCCGCGGATTCTTGTCTTTTATACCAACATGTCTCCACGCTTCTGGCGTCAAGGAGCATTGGTAAATACATACGGTCCAAGTTCGGGAAGATACTTGGGACCTAGTCACTCTTTTTATCAGTATATATATTGGTAGATTAATTATCTTCTGAACTTCTAGTTTAGTTTACTTCTTATGAACTTCTAGTTCAGTCTACCTAGTACGTGGATTCAAATATTGAAGATCAATCATTCATTGAATTTCTCGGCATTTTATAAAATTTGAGCTCTTATCTCCCCCTAATGCCGTGAAATGATCTTCATAAAGTGTGCAGTCAGCGTACCTAATTATATACTCTAAGAATTTAAATAACAGACGGAGGTTTATAATCAACATATACATGCCCACAAAGGTACGGTATGGTGGTAATATAGGAAAAAGACTGCACACTGTGAATAAAACGCAGATGGGAAATGTTTGGTTTTATACCACGTACTAGGTTCTAAGGGAATAATTATGATATGCAGTAGGTCCGATTGTGATAACCACAATAACATATAAAACTGATGTCCCCAACAAGAAAATATATAATCAGATATGAACGCATGCATATCAAATGATATTACAAGGGTACACAACAATCATAGGGAAGCTGTGAAGCTTGTCAAATAAAATAGATCTTCCAGATCTTTAAAAAATCCTTATCCTCAACTTTACATTAGTTCACTCATTGGTTTGGGAATTGATTCGTGCAAATTCACATGATATAATTCACTCCCTCATTTGCTTCGAGTAAACTAATATATGAAATAATTTATTCCTTCGTTTGCTTCAGGCAAATTGATATGATATAATTCATTCTCTCATTTGCTTCGGGCAAACTGATATGATATAATTCACTTCTATCTTCCAAACCAATAACATCTAAATCAATCATATCATGTATGGCAATAAGTCAAAGATCATTTTTATAAAGGAGTATATCACTCCTTAAACAACACAGAATTGTACTAAGCCATATTCGGAGAGAATTTTGTCATGTTGAAATCATAAATTTAGTCAAAAGGATTATCATAATTTGTTGATAATAGCAATCCTTCCGGGATTGATATAGGATTTATAGAACAAATAATAATTCAATTTTGAATTAGCAACCAGTCAATTGCATACGAGAGTCATGTTGCATGCATGAGAACAAAATTGAGTAAATAAGCATGCAAATTAAGAGAAGTAACTCTGAGAAGTAAACCTCCCGAATAGTAAATTTCAGATAGTAAAATCAACAAAGTAAAATCACTTTGCCCTCATAATAACTTGCGTCCAAAAATAACTTAACTTTTCGAATATTGCGGTCATGAATTAACTTTTCGGATGCTTCAGGCATAAACTAACTTCTCAGATGCTTCAAGCATAAGCTAACTTCTCGGATGCTTCAAGCATAAGCTAACTTCTCGGATGCTTCAAGCATAAGCTAACTTCTCAGATGCTTCAAGCATGAGCTAACTACTCGGATACTTCATGCTGGATACTTCATGCTTCAGGCATAAACTAACTTTTTCGGCCATGAATATATTTTCATGCATTATTCAAAATATTATCATGACACCAATCGTTTCTTCATCAATACCTCATCATTTCATTATCATAATTTATCGCAATATTTGCTTCAGGCAAATTAGCTAGAATCATCA